TATACCTTATCCCACTGTAACTTCCCCTCTGTACCCTCAGCACGCTTGTACCCTCATTCCTGTACCTTCCCCCATACCCTCAACCCCACCTGTACCCTCAGCACGCTTGTACCCTCACCTGAACTCTCACCCCACCTGTACCCTTAGCACACCTGTACCCTCTGCCAACCCTCACAGACAGGCGCTCTGCTCTCACCCCTGGACCCAGGGGCAGGTCTCTGTGGCTTGTACACGGAAGCAGAGAGGGTCAGTGATGCACAGGACAGGAGCAGAGGGACGAGCTAAGGCAGCCTAGCACATTCCCCATCCCCCAGGCTGCTGGGCCCACACCCTCCTCCCTCCACCCCCTCCCTCCTCCCTTTCCCTATTCCTGCTCCCCCCTTTCCACCCCTCCCGCAGGCAGAGTGACTCCCGACCTTTGTCTTCTGACCTTTGCCTGAACTGAAACAGAAAGGTTGATGAGGAAGGGGACATTTTTAGATCCTTGGTGGGAACCGGGGTCTGGAGGTTAAGATGCGGCAGTGTGACGCCCACTGCACCCAACCTGCCAGCTGAGGCCTGAAACCAACCTGGAGCTCCAGGAGTGGGCTGGGTTTTTACCCAACCCAAGGAGGGGCTCATCCCTCCGTACAGGCCAAGTCAGCTCTGCTCTGAGAGCCCACGGGATCCTCTGCTCGGGCAGCCTGGGGAGAGAGGTCAGGGACAAAAGACAGAGTGTGACTGAGAGCCGATGACCAGCAGGGTCACCGAGAGTTACAGTGACCAGCCATGGGGACAGAGCCCGAGGAGGTGAGAGGGTGGGTGCCCCAGGAGCTGCCCTCCAGGAGACTGGCTTAGCTGCTATCCCAGAAGCTAACCGCAGCTGCCTGGCAAGAGGATTTGGGAGCCTGCCCCCAAAGTCGGAGCTCTCCGGCCGTTCTCCTGGGCACCTCAAGGTGTAGAAGGAAGGAGTCAGGGGGGATACTGAGAATGAGGTGGAATTGGGGCAGTGGGAGGGGCTGCGGGAAAGGAGACCTTTGGAAGGGGAGGGGCGGTGGAGGAGGGGAGAAGGGCCATGACGGGGGTTGCTCGGGAGGAGTGCTGGGGCTCTGGGGTGGTGATGGGGGGCGTCAGCCTGGAAGGGGTTGGGGTCTGTGGAGGGCAGGAGGGTAGAGGGTGTCCCTGCCTGCAGGCCAGAGAGGGGGGCAGTGGCAGGGCTGAGGGGGGCATCAGGTGGCAGGACTGTGCTGCCACCAGGCCAGCGACTGCGGGGCTTCCCGGCCAAGTCCACCCTCTGGGCCTCCACACTTGGTTCTTCGGGCCTCCTCAAAGGACCACTGTAACGCAGGAACAAGAGTGGGGCGGTCAGCCCACCAGAAGGGAGAGGAGGCCAGGCGAAGGAAAGGGGGCGGGCGGGCGGATGGGGTGAGGAGTCACCCCGCTACAGTGATACCCTGACCCTACTCTCACTGCTGCCGGGCTCTGGAGCCACGAGATAGCCCCCCGCAGGTTCTAGGCTTCAGGGGCAAGACCTGAGTGGGGGTCCTCAGGGCGAGGTACTTTGTGTAAAATGAGGGGGCAGGGGCGGAGATTCACGGGGGTGGGGGGGGGTGAGGGCCAAGACTGTGGGTGGGGCCGGAGGAGGGACTGGGGCGGGGTCTGTGGCGGTGTAGAGCAAGGGGTCTGGCCTCTCGACGTGGCTGCCCTGGCCAGGAGGGGACCCTGGCCGCTCCTCCCGCCCCCGCCGCCCAGCGTCCTTTTGGGGAGGTCTGTGCAGAGCGGCGCCGACCCGGGCGGGCAACGGTGGATACGGGCAGCTGAACGAGCGGGCGTGGTGAGACTCGCGGGCTGAGGGGGCGCATGGGCAGGGGGCCTGCAGCGGGGTCCCGGAGGTCGCCTCGCCCGTGGACACTTCTCTTCGCCACCCCTAGACCGCACCATCGGGCGGGTTCAGGGCTCAGCTCTGCCCCGTCCTCTTGTCCCGCGCGCGGCCTTTAGGGGTTCAGTTCTCCCCGCATGGTCGGTGCTGCCGCTCCAGGACAGCTCCTTTCCTCCCCCCCTTCCCCGTCCGGCAAAAGAGTCGGGATCCGCACCCCCCGCGGCGCTCACCTGGGGGTCAACTGTGTGGCTTTGACTCGGGTCACTGCTGGCCCCGCACCCCTCCGCTGACCCCGCAGGGCGCCCTCATTCCCTGCCCGCGATTTTCCATTCTCCAGGTGGCTGGGGAGGTATGGAGTGAGGGAGGGCTTGAGCGGCAGTGGTCACCCCAGGCCGCCCCCTCCACCCTGAGAGGCTCCCCGCACAGGTGAAGGGAGGATGGGGTGCAGCTTCCCGCCGGCCAGGCCATGCCCTGGTCCCCTGGCCACCTTCAGGAGAGAGATGGGCGCACAGCGTGAAGCCCCGGGCGTGGGGCAGGGCCAGTGCAGGTGGCGCAAGCGCATGGGTGTGAAAGGGTGGCGGCCTCAGTGGCGTGAGGTCGTCTTCGGTTAGCATCCTATGCCCTTGGAGAGCCCAGCACCCACGTTTCCAGCTCAGACATTGGTCTGCGTCAGGGGCCTCCCAGTCCGGAAAGTGCCCAGCGGCAGGTGGCCCCACCCCCACCCCAGCCAGCGGAGGAGGGTAATAAAGTGGAAAGGGGTTAAGGGGGGGGCACCTCGCACCTGGCCTCTCCCTCTGGGCTTGGCTGTCTTCCGTAAGCTCACAGCTCTCCAAGAGCTGCCCGCCTGGGGTCCTGGCTGGATTGCTGGAGAAGCCGGACTCAGTCCCTCCCTGCCCCATGGCTTCCTGTAGTCCTCAGTGATGGGTCCAGGAAGCCCCACTTTACAAGTGGGGAAACACGGCTGGAGGCGGCTCTGCCTGGGGTCCCAGGCTGCCTGTCCTCTCTGAGGGGCACATGCCGCCAACTTTCCAAGTCTGAGGAGCTGCGTCACCAGTCAAGGGCCATCTCTGCCCTTTCCGAGTGTCCACCAGCACTGGCACTGTGTTCCCTCCCAGGCCCCTGCCGGCCTGCTCTGACTCCTTGGGCAGTGCTCAGCTGAGCTGGCGTGGGCCAGCTTTGGATTCCCAAGCCCCCAGGATTCCGGCTCCGGGATAGGCCTAGCTGTGCAGTGGGTCTGGGGGGTGCAGCCCACCACGTCTCTGTGCTTGTCCTCCTCTGCCCACGAAAGGCAGCCCCTCATGGGTGACACCATCTGTACCTCACCCTGAGCTGTCGACAAGGGGGCACCTAACAGAGTCAGGCCCCCATATTTCCATGGGAATGCTGCCTCCAAGGGACATCCCAAAGGAAAGGACAGCCCCACAGGGCAGAGTTCTGCTCTTCCCGGTCCTGGCCACAGGGTCAGCGCCCCAGGGCCCTCTAGGCCAGGACAACTTATCGGCCAGTGTCCTCCTGCTGGCCCTCTCCCTGTCCACACTGCACCACTGACCTTTGGCATCCTCTCTCGCTTTCACTCTCTCCGTCCTTCCTGCCACGAACTCTCAGGCATCTGGGAACTTCAGGCCCAGGGTGATCAGAGGCCGGACCTGGGCTAGGGGCAGCAGGTGGAGCTGCTTGGCCAGAAATGGAAGCTGATAATGCCCCTGGACCCAGGCTGCTGCCTCCTGGGTTCCTCCCACTTCCTCCCTGACCTGCTGGGTTCTACATCCCACCAGCCCTGCTAGAGCCAGGCCAAGGTGTGGAGCAGACACTGCTGAGCCTCATCCGCTCCAGCCCTGCATAGAGATAGTTCTGGGTCCTGTCAGAGGTGAGGAAACAGGATCCCAGGGCAAGCTGCCCCTCCAAGGGCACAGCTGGGTCTGCCTGGAGGAGGCAGATCCCAAATTCTTCCTTTTCTGCCAAGTACCCAGTCCCTGCCATCGCTCTTCACCCCAGGCATCACCCCACACCCCTAACCCTCCCATTTTCTCTCTGGTTGCTGAACGATACTGCTTTCTGTCCATTTGTTCATTTATCTATCCAACCTTCATCCATTCATCCACTCATCCATCCATTATCCATCCATTCATAATCCTGTCATCCATCTATCTAATCACTTATCATCTGTCCATCCTTCCACCCATCCATGCATCATCCATTCGTGTGTCCATCCACCCACCCGCCCTTGCATCCACTCAGCCATTTACCGGTCACTCTTTCATTCACCTATCTGTTGATGCATCCAATCATGCATGCATGCATCCACCTTCTACCAGGAACCAAGGACCCAGACAAACAGCCCTCCACAGCCTCAGGGAGCCCTGCCCTGGACCCATGGGAACTTCTACCTACTCCCACAGAATTCCGTAAAAGCCCAGGATGGGGTCTGCCAGTGACGACAGCTGATTTATCAGGTGGCCACTACTGGACACAGACCAGACAGCCCTGGGCCCGGCTCCAGGCCCAGCACCCACCATCCCCCACAGGCACTGCAAGGGCCAGGGTCCTAGGTCTGAGTCCCAGATCTCAGGAATGTGCCCAGAACAGGAAGCCTAACTGAAGCTCAGGCAGAAAACACAGAGGGGGCACCCAGATGAACACCACATGGGCATGTGCCCACAGATGGCATGGTAGGAGCTGGCCCAGGGCCACCTTGCCAAGCATGACCCTGGGGATGGGGACACACCTCACTGAGTGATGGATAGCCAGTAGACTGCCTGGGTCAGCCTGGCAGGCAGCCTTTCCCAGGGCTAAGAATAGGCAGTCAGCAAGGCTGGACGAGGAAGTGGGCACATATCTGGGCATCTTCCCCAGAGCTGGGAGACCAGGTAGCTGGCAGCATGGGGTGAGGGGACTCCAGCTGTCAGGACAGTTGGACAGGCAGTAGGGAGACAGCGAGCTCTCAGGTATGATCAAGCCCACTCCCCATCTCCACCTGCAGGGGCCCCCGAGAGGTGGTGTCAGGGGGGAGCTCTCTGTCCTCCCAGGTCCTCGAGTCCAGCTGCCCTGACCTCTGGTCCCCTGGAGGACTGGGCACATTCACGAGGAGCCCTTTGCCCAGACGTGTACCCCAGCCAGATGTGTGGGGTGGCTGCTCAGAGGCATGCCCACAACCCAGCCCCGCTGCTCCCACCTCCTGCTGCTGCTGCTGCTGGCGCGACAGGTGAGCCCCTCTCCATCCCTCCCACACAGGGTGAGCCCCACTACCCTGACACCCAGCCTGTTCCCATATGCAGCCACAGGTGCCTGCTGCTCAGGTGATGGACTTCCTGTTTGAGACGTGGAAGATCTATGGGGACCAATGTACCCACAATCTGAGCCTGCTGCCACCCCCCACTGGTGAGCTGCCCCTACGCTATCCCTGGGGTGCCCTTATCTAATGCTGTAAGGGCTGTTACACTGAGTCAGAAGGCCAGAACCAGCCATCTGCAGAGACAGGATGGCAGGCATGGACCCTGCCCACTCCTGCTGCAGGTTCACAGGCCCTGAACAACTCGGCCCAGTTGGCGCAGGATGCAGGGGACAGCCAAGGGACAGCTGCTGGAGGAGCCGTGGTGGCGGAGCCCCCGGGCAGGGAGAGCAATGGCGTCTGTGTGGGAACTTGAGGTTCCTGGAAGGATGCTGAGAGGATGAGAGGGTTTGGCGCTAGACTAGGAGGTGCTACGGTGGGGGATCCAGAGTAGGTCCAGGGCTCAGAGGGGACTTGTATCTCCAAGGGAAGACCGGGCAAAGCTGCCAGTGGGCCTGGAGGATTTGAGTCATGGGTGGGCATCCTGAGGTTAAGTTCCCTGGGGCAGCCACTCCAGGTGACTTCCAGGAGGAGGCACTGGGGTGCTGTGCAGTCAGACCCTGCTGAGGAGCCCCTGTCTGCCTTGGCCCCCCAGAGCTAGTCTGCAACCGGACCTTTGACAAGTACGCCTGCTGGCCAGACACCCCTGTCAACACCACGGCTAACCTCTCCTGCCCCTGGTACCTGCCCTGGTACCACAAAGGTACCTCTGGGGCGGGGTGGGGGCAGGAGGCTAGGGTACAGCCAACATGAGGCTGACCCCAGCCCAACCCTACCTGCAGTACAGCACCGGCTTGTCTTCAAAACATGTGGGCCAGATGGGCAGTGGGTGCGGGGACCCCAGGGACAGCCATGGCGCAATGCCTCCCAGTGCCAGATGGACCAGGATGAGCTGGAGGACCAGGTCAGCCACGGGGCTGGGGGTCAGGTCATTCTGACGGGCGAGCAATGAAGGGTCAGATCAGTCTGGGGGTGGGCAGCTGAGGGTCAGGTTAGTTCTAGAGGGAGTGGGACAGACCAGACAGTTCTGGAGGGGACAGGGACATGGCTGATGGGGGCAGGTCAGTCCTGGGATGGGCAGCTGAGGGTCAGGTCAGTTCCAGAGGGGACAGGGACAGGGCTGATGGGTGAAGGTCAGTCCTGGTGGAGTGAGGGCAAAATAAATTTGCTGGCGACCAGTCAATTTCAGAGGGGATGCTGGTGGGGCTGCAGTCAGGGGGTGCTGGACCAGTCTGCCCAGGTCCCAGCAATGGGTCCCCATGACTGGCTGTCCTACTTGCAGAAGGAGGTGGTGAAAATGTACAGCAGCTTCCAAGTAATGTACACAGTGGGGTACTGCCTGTCCCTGGGGGCACTGTTCCTGGCCCTGGCCATCCTGCTGGGCCTCAGGTACAGGGGTGCGGGTGGGGGCAGGGCATGGTGGCCTGAGGACCGATGCCAGCTGACTGTCCCGTCCTCGCAGCCAGCTGCATTGCACCCGGAACTACATCCACATGAACCTCTTTGCCTCCTTCGTGCTCAAGGCCAGCTCCGTGCTGGCCACAGACGCACTGCTGCAGACCCGCTACAGCCAGAAGGTCGGGGATGATCTGAGTGTGAGCATCTGGCTCAGCGACCAGGTGAGTGTGCACCCAGGCAGGTGTGGGGTGCTGAGAGGTGAGTGTGCTGAGGGGTGAACATGCCTCACTGGGCAGGGGTGGGGTACTGAGGGGTGAGCACGCGGGCCCAGGCAGGGGTCCAGCTGCCAGCTGCAGAGGGGAGAGTGCGCCTCACTGTCACCGGGCTGGATGTGGACTGCTGAGCGGCCGGCCGGCAGCCCCCTGACCCTCAGCCCCACAGGCGGTGGCCAGCTGCCGTGTGGCGGTGGTGTTCATGCAGTATGGCATCGTGGCAAACTACTGCTGGCTGCTGGTGGAAGGTCTGTACCTGCACAGCGTGCTCCACCGAGCTGCCTTCCAGGAGGACGGCTTCTTCCCGCTCTACGTGGGCATTGGCTGGGGTGAGTGGGGTGCGGGGCAGGCAACAGGCAGTGGCCCCTCCAGCTGCACTGGCACTCAGCTCCCTTCTGTCCCCTGCAGGCGCCCCCCTGCTCTTTGTTATCCCCTGGGCCGTGGTCAAGTGTCTGTTTGAAAATATCCAGTGAGTAAGAGGGGCCCTTCAGGCACGTGCCCCTCCTCTTTGGTGGTGTCCATGTGGGTGGTGTCCTCAGGGTGGACACTGCAGGATGTGAGCCTTGTCTCGTAGGTGCTGGACCAGCAATGACAACATGGGCTTCTGGTGGATCCTGCGGTTCCCTGTCTTCCTGGCCATCTTGGTGAGGAGCTGATGCTGGGCAGCTGGTGCCTAAGTGGGGGTGATGGCCGCTGGCACTTGCCCAGGGTGGAGGCTGGCACTAGGGGCCTTGGGCCAGGTTTCCTGGAGGATGTGGGCTGCTGTTGTTGAACAGGTGCCCACCACCCCCGGGGCCTGGTGATGGGAGGTGGAGGGGGGCTGGGGGCTGGCTGGGACTCAGAGCTTTCTGCAGCCAGGCTTCTCCCCAAGTGATACTTCCTGCTCCCAGATCAACTTCCTCATCTTCATCCACACGGTGCACATCCTCCTCTCCAAGCTGCGTGCCCACCAGATGCACTGCATAGACTATAAGTTCCGGTGGGTGCAGGTGGAGAGGGGGGCCCAGATGTTAGTGATGCAAGCCAGGATCTGGGGGTACCCTAAAGGATGGTGCAGAAGAACCCAGCGTGCTGCCTAGAAGGGTGGAAATGTTGGGGGGGCTGGACCATGGGAGACTTAGGCTCCACCCCAACAGGCTGGCCAAATCCACGCTGACCCTTGTCCCCTTGCTGGGTGTCCACGAAGTGGTGTTTGCCTTTGTGACTGATGAGCACGCCCAAGGTGCACTGCGCTCCACCAAACTCTTCTTCGACCTCTTCTTCAGCTCCATCCAGGTGCCCTGCTTGGCCCCATGAGGGCTGCCCTGACACCTGTTTGCCCCTATGTCCTGACCCCTCCTCATCTTCACGTGGCACTGTCTTGATCCCTCTCCCCCGTGGGTGCTGTCTGACCCTCTCCCTGTGGGTACAGTAGGACCCCTCCTCCCATGGGTGCTGTCTGACCCCTCTTCCTGTGGGTGCTATGCTGTCTGACGCTCTCCCCCTAGGGTCTGCTGGTGGCCGTTCTCTACTGTTTTCTCAACAAGGAGGTAGGTGGGAGAGGGCAGGATCAGGGACCGTCCACAGAGCTGGACACATCACAGCCTCCATTCCACTGCCACCTTGTGATGGGAGCAGGGCACCCTGAGATGTATTAGCAGTGGGGCACCCTGCTGGCTGCAAGCGCTAGTGTTCCAGGGTGATGATTGTTGGGTGGCATCCCTCAGAAGTTGGTGCCTCTCAGGAGGTGGTATGTCTCAGGAGGTGGTGTCTCTCAGGAGGTGGCATCACCCAGTGGCTTACCTAGAGTGCTCAGAGTCAAGAGCTGACTTAGGACCCCCATGCCACACAAAGATGGGCATGGACACTACTGCAGGGCATCTGGGAGTGGACATTGGCACAGGATGTGACAGTGGGGACAGGGATGCTGGCACAGGGGATCAGGGTGGGGACAAGAGATGCTGGCACAGGGCACGCAATTGGAGACCAGCATGCTGGCACAAGAGATCAGGGTGGTGATGGGGGTGTTGGCACAGGGGTCAGAGTGGGAACAGTGTCCCAGGACACTGGTCCAGAGGACCAGAGTGGGGACAGGGATGCTGGCTCAGGGCACAGAGGCAGGAGAGGGACGCTGCACAGGCCAACCCCTTGCCTTCTCAGGTCCAGTCAGAGCTCCTGAGGCGCTGGCACCGCTGGCGTGTGGACACAGGCCTGCGGGAGGAACTCCGGCTGGGCAGCCGCTCAGCCCCACCCTCCCATGGGCCCCCCAGTGAGGAGCGGCTGCTGACGAGCACCTGCAGTGAGGGTCCCCGTCTGGACCCATCCTTGGAGACCCCCTCAGCCCACAGCCTTCCTGGGCCAGAGAGTCCCTTCTGGAGCCTGGGGACCCCGCTGGGGTAGACTGTGCCCAAGATGGCATCAAGGACATTCCAGAAGTCAATGCCCAACCAGGCCAAATGGCAGGGCCCCCTGGAGGCCCCTCAGCAACCCCCAGTTTTCCCCCTGTGGAGGCAAGGGACAGAGGAGTGTGCCATGAACTGCTTCTTCTGCATGTCCCGTGTTGGCATGTTCTGTTGGCGTATCCCATTGTACCAGGGACCCATGTCAGGGTGTTTCATGGGCTGGCATGTCCTGTGTGTCCCATGTTGGCAAGCCCCATATGACAGTGTCTTCTGTTGGAGGGTCCCATGTCTGTGTGCCCCCTGTGCACAGATGTCCTCCCAACCAATAAATAGCTCCAGCCTTGCATGATGCACCCCTACACAGCTGGCAGAACACACTGGGATCCTGAGCCAGCACAGGGGATGAGTGTGGACAGTATGCCTCCCAGTCCAGCAGGGGCCCCTCTGCTCCCCTTCATAGATGGGTGGTCCCAGGCCAGCAGAGTAACCCTGTGTCTCTCATCTTCGCCCAAGAAAGTCTGGGGCTCCGCCTCCCATGTCCAGATTCTGTGGCCCGATAGCTTTGTTCCATAACCCCAAGGGGCACCACTTCCAGGAGGGGAAATGAAGTCAAATAGGGCTAAGGGAAGCTGCCATCCAACTCTCACCCTACACACCATGCAGGCCCCTGGAGGTCACCCCAAATCAGGGACTGTACCCGGCATGGGGGCTAAGCCCAGATCTCATGTAATCTGTTAACTCCATCTCTGCTGCTGACAGAAAGGCTGTGGGTTTGAGACCATCAGCGGCACTGAGGAGCACAGGCCTGGGTAGGTGCTCCTGAAGGATCCTTCCTGGGCCCTGCAGAGGGCAGCTCCATGTGACAAGAGGGTCACCTGCCCAGCAGACCTTGGACACACAGCAGGCAATCAGAAGAAACAGCCAAACAAGGTGCCCGAGGGTGGTTTTTCAGCAGAGGCCCCTCCTGTAGCTGTCAGCCCATGGGGTGCTGAACATTGAGGACACTGGCTCAGGACAGAAGACCTCACTGCAGTGAGGCCCGTGTGGGTGTATGCATGCAGCACTGCCCAGGGGCCAGAGGGGCAGTAGGCACAGCCCAGCTGGCTCTCTAGGTGCCCCTGGGCCGGCAAGCACTGGGGGTTGAGGTACCACCCACCACCAGTGCCACGTGGGCCAGAGCTCTCAGGCAGAACCGGGCTAATTGGAGTAAATGAGAGGACAGCAGGCCACTTGGGAAAGGTAAACAGAATTACTCACTACCAGGCGCTGGGGCCCCAGCAGGCGGCTAATGGAGGGACGGTCAGGAGAGGCTTCTGTGGGGTCGGGGTAGGGTCACCAGAGCTACCTGCTGCTGGTAGGGGCTCTTAAACAGGAGCTGGGCCAGCTAGCTCCACCTCAGCCTCAGCTAGTGGCAGCTAGAGGCCAGTGGGCCCTGACCTTGAGGTTTTCCACACCTGTTCCAGCCCCTGGGCCCTGCCTGCCCGGTGCCCAGCTACACGGTGCATGAGGCAGTCTCCTCTGAGTTGGCAAAGGAGGTCCCTTTTCTCCTTCACGCTGGCTGAGTTCAGGCAGGGGCCTCAACACCCTCCCCAGACTGTCCCTCTAGCTTGTCCTTCACCCTGTCCTCAGGTTCCCCAGGGAACTGGAGCAGGCCGGTGGAGCCCAGGAGAGGGGCCTGAATTCTCAGCTTGTAAGCACCAGCTCTGTTGGGCACATGGCCTGGGCAGGAGACTACTTGCCCCCAGCCCAGCTGGGAAAGTGTCCTGCCCACCTCTGCCACCCCCATGTGTGTGCATGTGCACAGAGCTGTGTTCACATGTGTGTGAATGAGCCCTCACATGCAGACACAGGATCACTGGGTGCAGACGAAAAGGAAGCCCGTCACAGGGCTTCTGGAGGGCTGTGGGTGAGGCATATACAAGGTGGCTCATTGGAAGCAGAAGACGCACACACGGTGGTCTTCATGTGTGAGGGTATGCAGCCTTGGAAACTGGACTGGACAGTGCCACTCTGCCCATGGGGATGTCAGACATCACAACTCATGGAAAGGGTTTGGTGTTGGTGGGGCAAGTGTGACTGAGGGATCCCCAGTGTCCCAAGGGGTCTATGGGGGGGTGTACAGAGGGCAGCACAGACCACAAGCAGCAAAGGGGACAATCCCAGGAGAGACAGTGCTCAGAAAGCAGCACAGAGTAGTCCAGGGAGAGAACCCCCAAGGGCTGCAGCCTGAGGTGAGCTAGTGGAGAGCATGGATTTGCTTGACCAGCACACTGGAAACCAAGCCTGAGTGAAGCAGCTACCTCCAGGGACAGGAAGAACTCGGGAGGAGTGGCAGGCCACCAGCATCCACCGCAACTGTGCTTGGAACAAGAGACACTGTAACATAAACACTCAGCATCTATGGGGCCATAACGATGGTGGTCTGACTCGGGGACTGGAGGGCGTAGGGTCTGACCATCAGGGATGAAGGACAAAACCCTTGTGCGAGGAAAGGTCAACAGGTAAGGTCCAGGGCAGGAAGTGACCCACTGCAGCTCACGCTTGACCTTCAGATACGAACCCAATCACTGCACACCCAACAGGCCCCGGGCCACGGGGCTGCAGCGGGCCACCTTGCAGCCTGTCCATGCTGACGCTGACCTGGACCCCGTCTGCTCCCTTGTCCTCTCTCCAAGCTCACTCTCCAAGCTCAGCCTCTCATCTCTCCTATCTGTATTCAGTCCATTCCCCAGCTCTAACTTCCATACCCCTTTTGGGAACCCCTTCAGCTTCTCACACAAGTCTTTCCATTTTCGGTTTATGATAGACAGAGGGACAAGAGTCCAAGTCTTACCCTGAAAGCCAGGGACTCTGCTCCCCGTCGGGAAACACTAGACATTCAAAAAGGCCCGGCCTGGGAGGCAGCTGGTGTGAGCGGATCACTGCTGGATGTGTTTCCAGGGCCACCAGCCAAACGTCCATGGGGTGCCCAGAGTGGCCTGTGCATCTGCTTCCATGAGGTTAAGCCATGTGCATGCACCCAACACAGGTGTTACCCCAAGCCGGAGCTGGGACTGCGGCAGTGGGTCTGGTTTGGGGAGTAGTGGATGCAGGAACACTTGTGGGGACATCTCATGAGGTGCTGTCACGTGGTGATCCCTTTAACTTTAGACATAAACAGGGTGGAGGTGAGGACTGGGGTTGGTTGAAGCCTCCCAGGACCCACAGTCTATCTGTATCTGGACATGGGCAGCATGACTGTTAGCAAAGTCCACTTCAGTCAGGGCTCCATTCAGCAGGAGTGCTGTGCCTACATGAGCCCGGTCTTCTTCCCACAGAGCCACCCAGCCCCTCCCACCCACACCCACCTCTGCCAGCCCAACCTCCCTCCGTGCTCCCTGAGGCCCCTTCTACGGCATCTCTGAGTTAGCATGGGCCACCACCCAGCTGCTGTCTCTGGAGGGGAGAGGGCAGGCCGATGGGCAACACTCTCCCACATGGTGGTCCTCACAAGGGCTGTGGTCAGTCCCTCACAGTCGGGTGGGTCCCTCAGAGCTGGTCTACTTGGTGGGGGTACCACACTTGTCCCTCTCTTCACCCCTAGCCTGGGTGTTGGCACCCACTTTGTGGTGATACTAAAATTTCCCCCTAGATTGAGCATCCCGGCTTTGCTGCACAGGGACTGGGCCGGTCACTCCAGGGTGTGCTCCTTGGGGCCCCAGCCAGCCTGACCTAGATCAGCAGTGTTCCCATCTTCCTCTGCCCCCGCTAGCTCCTGAGCCCGCATCTAGCCTCAGGTCCCAGCTGAGAGTTAGGGCCTCAGAAAATTCAAACCTGTTGATGGGAGGTTTGGGGGAATGAGGTACCTGGGGGGCCCACTGAGAAGAGAGGTGCACACATCTGGAGCAGAGGTCTGGGAATGACTGGTGACAATTGCAGCTGGACCCATTGCCCCACACTGCCCCACAGGAGGGTGGCAGGGGCACAGGGCGGTCCAGGCTGGCATGGGCCATCACTAACCCAGCAGAGGCATGAGGGCCCAGGCCAGCACCCCCTGAAAAGGTCTGTGGACAAAGCAGCCCACACGCTGGTTCACTGGAGCTCACAATACTCTTCGAAGAAAAAGGAGTTTTTGAAATAAATTCGTTTGGCTCCTGTCTCTGAGTGAGCAGAGGTCAGACGGAATGGCCCAGCCCTGAAGGTCGAGCAAGGGCCCCTGGGCCTGAGGCTGACCCTCAGGTCTCATCGCCTACCTATTCTGCAGCCAGAGCAGAGCTCCGGGGCTCAGACAGAACATGTGGGCTCCCGGTCACCCTGACTTGCTCTCCAGAAGCCTAGCTAGGAGGGGGAGGCCCTGCTCAGGCAGGGTGGTCTGGGAAACTCCAGGGGGACCCAGGACCGGTGCACGTGGCGAGGTGGCGAGGTGCCCAGGCCACCAGCTAACAGCACAGGAGGCTGGTCCCAGCAGCTGCCTTTATTCTCTGACCCTCAGCTGACATACAGATCTGAGGGCACAGGACAAAGGGGCTCTGGGGCCCTCCAAGCACCCACAGATTCAGGACAAAAGGGGCCACCAGCTCAGGCCAGCCCCTGCTCCACCCTGCGGGGCCGTAGATACCAGGTCAGGCCTGGCAGCTACGGACACCCAGAAGGCTGGTGCCATGAAAAGGTGGACACAGAGCTGCCTGAGTCCAGGCAGGAGAAGCCAGGGGGTGGGATGGGGAGGCAGATGGCCTTGTCCCATCTCTGGGCCCCTCAGGGTTGTGCCAGCAAAAAGGGACTCCAGAAAGCTCTAAAGACAAGGCGGGGGAGGAGGCCGGGGCTGAGGGTCCAGACCCCCAGAGTCGGGTGGCCTGGACCTGCATGGGGATGGGCTTGGGGCAGCAGCTGGCCATCAGTCAGCCCTCGCGGCTCGCTGCACGTGGCCCCTCTGTGCCCGGAGTCTCCGTGGCAGGCAGGCGGTCATTGGCGCTGGGCCGAGCTCGGCAGCTGCCCCTTAGGACTTCTTGGCGTCCTGGGTGCTCCGCCGCCGCAGGTCGCTCAGGTCAATGGGTTTGAAGGCTGAGTGGGGAGGGATTGTGAGGGTCAGGTGGGGAAGATACCTGTCCAGTCCCTCTTCCAGAGGCCCAGGAATGGCCACTGCCCCACTCGCACCCCTACTCACTCTTCAGGCCGGGGTTGGGGACCTTCTCCACATATTCCTCCACCAGGCCCCGCTCACTGCCCGACAGTTGGTTCCGGAGGTCTCGCTCCACACCCTGCCAGGCTGCAGGCCGAGGCTGGAGTCAGTGCAGAGCCTCTGGCGCCCTGGCCCCATGTGCATGCCCTGGCTTCCCAGTCCGCCATGCCAGTGCCCAGGCTTCTCCCCAGGGACCCTGCTGTGACTACTGCACCTCCAGCTTCTTTCTGTCCCTCTGAGACCACAGCTGAGACAGTCAGAGGACACGCGAGAGCCCACCACGCCCCTGCAGTGCAGGCGAGCCAGGCGCCCCTCCCCATCTGTCCGTGCTCCCTCACCCCCTCATCCAGGCAGGAGTCTGCCCACCCAGGTGCCCCCATCCCCACACCTGTGTGCCCATGCTCCCCAGTCCCGCCTGCCCTGAGGACGCCACCTTCATAGATGAAGCGTACATTCTCCTCGTGAGCAGGGGTGAAGATCTCGCTGCTGTTGGGTGGGGAGCGGGGGCTGCTGTTCCTCTTGCCGTTGTAGACGACTCTGGAGACGGGGGAGCTGGGGGACCCTGCCTCGTGAGGACAGGATGGAGCAGGGCAGGGGCACCCACCACCCAGGCCCCATGGATGGAGGACAAAGAGCCCACAGCCACCCACCTGGTCATCGCTGGGACGTCTGGTCGTGGCACTCCACTGCCTGGTCCCCCTGGCCCTGAAAGAGGCCCATGCATGACTCAGGACAGAGCTGAGGTGTGTGGTGTCATCCTCAGGAGGGGTGTCAGGGTGTAGACCTGTTGACCACCTCCTTTAAGTTGTGATCAATCATAGTGGCCCTGCTGCCCACCTGGGAACCCCAAACATCATTCTGATGGTCAAAGGCTGGGGCCAGCCTCAGTCCTGTCCCGGTCCCTCGGCTTGCACCGGGTGTGTCATTCCTATTCTTGGGGGCCTGGGGCAACCTTTCCGAGGCAAGTCAGGGTCAATGGGGCTGTGCCCTGGAGTAAGCCCTCGCTGGCAAGGGGAGTGCTTTCTTCCTGCCATGGGCTGGGCTTCTTCATGGCCTCACATCCCTGTCCCCAAGCCCTGGAGGACCACCCTGGAAAGGAGAATGGACCTCACTGGGGTAGGATGGCCACCTGCCCAGCCTTCTCTTGGTCCAGGGATTCCCTGAGCTTGAGTTGTCGCAAGCCTGGCCTTGTTCCAGATTGGGGATCCAGAAGTGCCAGCACATAGACACTGGGAGTGAGCACAGGAGCATCCTCTCCCAGCACGGGGGACTCAAAGGACAGGGCCCAGACCAAGCTGGAGAGTGACTGCACAGGGACACCTGGGACTTCTCCCTTGCAGGACAAGTCACCTTCCTCTCGCTCCCCTCTCCCAACCTGTCCAGATAAGAGTAGGCAAGGAGAGGCCCAGCTACTCCTAGAGACACATGGACCTGTCCCCATTGCATTCCCTCCCTGCTGATGTCCTGCCCTCCCCATGGTCCTCTGCCAGGGTGTCCAGATCACAGGACCAGAGCAGAGGAAGCTCCTTCTGGCCTGACTACATCTGTCTCTCCCAGGACCTGCTTTTCCTCGACCCCAGCAGCCTTTGCCTCTCAAATGACCCCTGACCTGCTCTGCTGGGCCCTCACCTGCACCTGTGCAACACCAGAGAGGGGAGTACCGCTGGGGTGAACAGGTCCAGTCCTGTGCCCTGACTCCCGCCCCATCCAGACCTACATGGCTGCCTCCTGCCTCCCAAGCACAGGCACGCCCTCCAGACTGGACCCAGTACCTCAGCAGGACATGGGGGTAACACCAGGTGGATGGCATGCTTTACTGAGCGGCAGGGTTGTGTGTGCTCAGGCTATGCCAGTGTCTCTACCAACTTTACTCCCCAGCCGTCTGCCCCAAATTCACACCCTGCTTCTGTGCCCCTGTCTGCCCTGCACTACACCCCGTGGCGCTGCATCTGCACTCTTGGCGCCCAGAGGACACTGAAAGACAGACTGACTTTGTGATCTTTGCATCTCAAGTCTTCTCTCCTCTCCCTCCTGGCCCAGCCTTCTCCACCCCAAGTCCAGTTGCTCTGGAGTCCAGAGCCCTCTTTGCAAGCCCCGCCCTAAGGACCCCTCCAGTTTCAACACTGCCCTCACACAAACTACTTCCCAGGTCATCCACCAACTGGACAACAGGTAGGCCCTGCTGCCACCAAGTCCACGTCCAGCCCAACGTCTTTCACCAGATGGTACCACTTGTTTGTGGGTCCCCAGTCCACCCCAGGTGTAGTCTCTGCTACCCTTGGTGGCCACAGCTCTGGGCACAGACTGTCTCCAAAACCTGAGGCTGGGAGTCTGGACTGTCAAGCTCACAGCATCAGAAAGGGCCCTTGGAGGGCCAGCGCTGCCCCTTACTTCCACGGAGTCTCCAGTCCACCAGGGCAGAAACCTCCCCGAGACCTGAGGGCTCCTCCCTGGACAGCAGACAGACAGGAAGTTGACAGTAAGATGAGCCAAGCTGGTGCAAGAAGAGGGGGCCTCAGGAAGCAGGGATGCACAAGCAGAAATGGGGGACAAACTGGGGGCCCCTAACAGGTGAGGTGACACAGGCAGAAATAGGGGCAGACTAGGGTCCCCACTAAGTGAGGTGACACAGGCAGACACAGGGGGGCATACCAGGGGCCTACAAGTGAGGTGACACAGGTAGGAATGAGGGGCAGACTAGGGGCCCCCAACAGATAAGGTGAGGAATGGGGGCAGACTCCCCGATAAGTGAAGCGACACAGAAGAAATGGGCAGCAAATTAGGGGCCCTCAACAAGATGACATGGGTAGGAACGGGGGGCAGACTGGAGGCCTACGACAGGTGAGGTGACAGACAGGAACACAGAACAGATTAAGATCCCCAAATGGTAAAGTGACACAGGCAGGTATGGGGGGCAGACCGGGGGGGCCCTGACAGGTGAAGTGATACAGGCAGAATGGGGCACAGACCAGGCTCCCTGACAGGTAAGGTGACACAAGCAGGAATGGGGGCAGACCTGAGAGCCCCTATTCACAGGTGAGGAGATGTAGGCAGGAACTGAATGCAACCAAGATGCAGGTCCACCCCCACTGGCCACAGCCAATATCTGTCCAGGGCTCACTGTGACTGGTTAGCCCAGAGGTGCTTCCCAAACACGGCTCATAAACCCCAAACTCGGTTGGAGGAAAACATCTACATCTTCGTTTCAGGACGAGAACGCAGCTCAGAGGAGGACCCTGAGGGCCCCCCCACACCTCTCGTGGCCTCCCCAGATGGCTCCTGCTTGCACTCTGCAGGTCCTTGGCAGTCAGGGGAGAGAGCTCCGTAGCACCCTCCTGGTCCTGGGACCTGAAGGCTTGAGAGTCCTTGCAGGTCAGGCGACAAGGGGGCAGACCCAAGGCACAGGTGGGGCCTGCTCCCTGCAGAGTCCCCCCTCTGCCCGTACACAGCTACGTGCCCAGGGATGTGAGGACCCAAGACAGGAACCATTGCCCAGAGAAGTGAGACTTGGAATCCCAGCACTGGGAGGGGCCCTGCGTGGTCGCGGGAGGCATCTCTGGTCTCGGTTCCACCCTCGCCACTATTATGGGATCTCAACAAGCCATCTGCAGCCAACAGATGTCGAGAGGCTGACCTGCTGCCCAGCTGGGGCCAACAACACAGTGACTACGTGTGGGGGATGCCCGACAGGGCCCCGCAGTCCCCTGATGACCCACACACGCAGCTGGACACACAGCAGGGCCCCAGCTCCTGGCCTCGTGGGAGCCTCCATTCCCTCTGCACCTCATCCCCTGAAAACATCTGTGCTCAGTCCCCCAAGCCTCCTTCCCCAGCGCCCTCCACAAGTCCATCGTGGCCTCTGGGGACCCCTGCTGCCTACCCCTTGGAGACGCAGCTGGGGCACCTCTGGGAAGCCCACCTGGGTCGGGGCACCGGGCGTGGCAGCAGCTCCCTGCACCCTGTCCCTCCTGGGCACCTGGGAGGACCCTGGCTGGCCTGGGGGGGTCAGGCCTGTCCATCCAGCCGGTATCGAGCAGTGCAGGGCCCGGCCCAGCACAGTGCCCGCTGGGGACCCAGGGCGGCGGGGACAGGAGGGGGGCCAGGAGGCCAGCGCCAGAGCGAGATGCCTCCTTAGAAGATGGACAGTGGTCAGCTTGTCTGGGGGGCTGGACCTGTCCACCAGGGACGCTGCCTATCGGAAGGAGCAGGCTATGGGGCTGCTGGTCATCTCCGCCGGGCGATGCCCGCCCCCCGGTCAGGGCCTCAGGCCCCGGGACCCCGGCTCCCCGAAGACACGTCCAGGCGCGCGGTCCCGGCCGGCCGCGGTCCACCTCGCCCCCCGCGCGGCCAGAGCCGCCGCCCGGCGCGG